GGGTTCCGCTTCCACTTCCCCGCGGACGAGCTGGGCGAGGCCTCCCTCCCCAGGCCCCCGGGCTCGGGGTTGGGCCAGAAGAAGGCCTGCTCCTTCCGTGGGAAGGGAGAAAGGGACCCCCAGAGGCACCTGGTCCCGGGCAGGCAGGGCAGCCTCCGCCTCCTCCCAGGCAGGAGCGCCCCAGCCACCCCCGGGGGCAGTCGACTCACGTTGGACAACATCCAGGACCCATCGGAGTCGAAATCGGGCCCAGAAATTGGGGTTCCTGGAGACGAAAGGCCCACGGACTCGGAAAGGGAGAGGGAAGAAACCAAGTCCCCCAGTGTCACCCCCACAGCGGCCCCGCCTGCAGGGAAGAAATCAGATTCGCAAGACGCGCAGCTCACAACGGCGGGAACAGCACGGGGGGAAGGGGCTGTGTCCGGCCCCCCGGGAGACACGGAAAGGCCACGCTACGACCCGGACCAGGCCTTCCATGCCTGTCGAACCCTGGAATCCACGAGTTTTGTGTATTCCCACGGGAGGAAGCTGGTCGGCGGGGTTCACCGGTGGGGCGCGGAGGACGGGTCCCTCCTGGATCAGGCGTGGACCGCGGAGTGGAAATACCAAGTTCAGAGGATCACACGGTCCCGCAGCACCGACATCCCCGCCTACGTGGTGTCAGAAGCCGCCAGGCAGGCGGAGCAGAAGGACCCATCGACAGACACCGAGGAGGAGGCTCACGGCGCTTCCAGAGGGGTCCCCTGGACCCCTCGCCTGTCCCTGGCGGTGACCGAGAGAGCGGAAAAGGGGAACCTGCTGGCGGTGAAAGCAGACCAGGCGTCGGGGTTCCCGTCGTTAAGGTCGAAGAGTCTATACAGCTGCCCCAGGAGGGCTGCGGGCGTGCAGGGTGGGCTAGACACACCCGGGCATGCCAGCAGCGTGGGGAGCCTCATCGCCACACCTGGAATGGAAACGGAGGCCCAGCCAGAGAAAACTTCCGCCGAAACGGAGTGCTGATGCGCTCGGCTTCTCCGGGTTTTGACATCAAAGCCGCAGAGGACCACCATCCTCTTGGCCGTCGAGACGTCATCAGGTTATGAAAACGTTTGCATGAAAGATATTCGGCAACGTGGACGCGCGATGGAAATTTCAGGCACGGCGCTTCTCAAAGCGGCGGTGCGACGAGTTCTGTGGATTCCCTGTGTCCTCCCCAAATTCCTACGTTGGAACCCTGACCCCAACGTGACTATATCTGGAGACACGGCTGTGAAGAGGTCATTAAGGATAGACGAGGTCATAAAGGACTGGTGCCCTGATAAGAAGACACCAGAGCCCGGCCGGTGTGGCTCAGTGGTTGAGCATCGATGTGACTATATCTGGAGACACGGCTGTGAGGAGGTCATTAAGGATAGACGAGGTCATAAAGGACTAGTGCCCTGATAAGAAGACATCAGAGCCCGGCCGGCTGGTGTGGCTCAGTGGTTGAGCATCGACCTATGAACCAGGAGGTCACGGTTCGATTCCCGGTCAAAAGCACATGCCCGGGTTGCTGCAGGCTCGATCCCCAGTACGGGGCGTGCAGGAGGCAGCCGATCCATAATAGATTCTCCCTCTCCCTTCCTCTCTGAAATCAATAAAAATATATTAAACACAAAGCTCTTTAAAATCAATACAAATATATTTAAAAAAGAAGAAGACACCAGAGTGCTCTCCAGCACCCACAAGCTTGCTCCCGCCCGCCCTCAGCCTCGTGTTAGAAGCCAGATGCAGAGCTCACACCAGAGACCTACCGTGGTCCTGAACTTCCAGCCTCCAGAACTGGGAGGAACCCATCTCCGTGGCCGCAGCCTCCCCGCCGGCCTGTGGTGTTTCTGTGGCGGCAGCCCACGCGGACAGGTACACGGAGACATCTGAAACGGTCATAAGATTTAGAGTTAGGTCAGAGTCTTCCCACTTTTCAATCACGTGGTCACATAGGACAGAGTCGAGGAAAACCTACAAGGGAAAACCCACATCAGGAGCAACCATTTAAAATAAAAAAAAAATACAGCCCGGCCGGCGTGGCTCTGAGGTTGAGCGTCGACCTAGGAACCAGGAGGTCACGGTTCGATTCCCGGTCGGGGCACAGGCCCGGGTTGTGGGCTCCATCCCCAGTAGGAGGCGTGCAGGAGGCGGCCGATCCACGATTCTGTCTCGTCATTGATGTTTCTGTCTCTCTCTCCCCCTCTCCCTTCCTCTCTGAAATCAATAAAAAAATATATATAAGTAAAAATAAAGAAACACCCATATATTGATTGAAGAGTGTGTGTGGATAACAATCCGTTGCCAACCAGCTTTACTGAGACGTAACTGACATATGTCACCGTAGAGGTTTAAGGTGTACAGCCTTACGATCTCACTGATTGTGAAATGATGACCACAATCATTCTAGTTCGTGTCCATCATCACATGGATACAATGAGAAGAAGCCAAAAATAGAGGTTTAAGGTGTACAGCCTTACGATTTCACTGATTGTGAAATGATGACCACAATCAGTCTATCTCGTCCATCATCACATGGATACAATGAGAAGAAGCCAAAATAATTTTTTTCCCTTGTCATGAGAACTCTTTGGATTTACTCTTTTAACAGCTTTCATATATACCACACGACCGTGCCAACTGCAGTCATCATGTTGTACGTGACGCCCAGAGGACTTACTCGTCCCAGTTAAACACTGGGGGTTCGGACCGTGTACCCACATTTCTCCCATTTCCTCCTCCCCCACCCGGTAACCGCAAATCTGATATTTTCTTTTTCTTTTTTTTGTTTAATCCATTTAATGTAGAGAAATCACGAACTATTCATAAAAAAAACACCTTGAATGTACGTGCACAATAGTGCTTTGAACACCTATAACCCAGTGGACTTAACATTTTAAAACACGATTTTTGGCACAATTTTGGTTCCTGTGCAAAATGGAACCGTGTGTGATGCAAACAAGTTCCCCAGAAGGACCAGTAGGGTTCTGAATCCAGAATACATTATTTTCAGGAAAAAAACAAAAAAGGCGACCTTTGGAATCTTAGTGTAAAACTTTGAAATATTTGCATTAGCAACGCTTGTCACAATGATTCACGTGGCCACCCTGGGGCTGCCTTGCGACGTGAATGATGAAATGCATTAGGGTTTCATTCTCCAAAGTCTAAGAAGGGTCTAGTCTCAACTCACAGATTCACCGAAATGCCACCCCCCCCACCTCCCCCAAAGGCTGCTCGGGTTCAGGCCCCGGCTGAGGTCAGCCATGCCGATGTCCGGTGGGGGGAAGCCCGGGCGTCCTGGGCAATGACCGGTCCATGGCCTGTGGGGGCCCTCACTCCGCGAGGGCCCGGCCCTTGGGCTGCCCACTCACATCGTTACAGGTGCGATGAGCAAGGAAAGCAAGGAGGCAACTTGTTTCACACTGTTTTCCACGTTAACGTTTAATATGAGGAGGTGGAAGTCAACCAACGAGATGGGGGGGCCAGGGTTGCAGGCCTCAGTCATCAGTCAGTATCCCCGCATCCCGAACCCCACCTTCCCCGGTGTGGGGCCTCTGAGGGGCTCTACATGCAGCCCAACCGAGATGTGCTTTGGAGACGGTCCCCCCTCCCAGGCTGCTCCTGTCCCCCCTCCCGGGCTGCACCTGTCCTCCCCTCCCAGGCTCACCTGTCCCTCCTCCCAGGCTCACCTGTCCCCCGTCCCGGGCTGCACCTGTCCCTCCTCCCAGGCTCACCTGTCCCCCCTCCCAGGCTGCTCCTGTCCCCCCTACCTGCCCCCCCTTCCGGGCTGCACCTGTCCCCCCTCCCGGGCTGCACCTGTCCCCTCTCCCAGGCTGCACCTGTCCCCTCTCCCAGAGCCGACCCCTCCCACGCTGGGGGACCCCTCCCTCCACCCGGGCTCCTCTCCACTTCACACGACAGCGATCGCGCGAGCAGGGTGCCTACAGAGCAGCACCCACGGGACATGTCCCAGGAGAAGAGGGGCAGACGCGACGAGGAGGCCCTGAGCCCCGGTCACGGCCCGCTCCGCTGTCAGCGTGGATCCCAG